GCTGCAGATGGATCGAACATTTTGGATATTTCGACAGAGGTGTAATTGGTAAACTCAAATTGCGATGTATCAGTAAAAATTTACCTGATTAGTTTTTATATTTCGCTAAGGTAGAGCAGAGTAGTCGGCTGGTTATTAAAGAGTTACCAGCAGCTTTTCTGAGTTGATGTACGCTCTCAGACGCGTCGACGCGCTGAACGGCGCGCGTGGCGGCGACGCGTCACCAAATTTGGGACCGGGATCGGGTGGCGCCGAACGTCCCTGGACAAGCTTAACCTGCGTTTTGAACGTGGCCTCAGGTAAAGCGAATATGTAGTCTCGAATTAAAGGCGCGACAGCGTGCAAAGCCTTCTTTCATTCCACTATGACGATCTCAGGTCCTATAATCTTCATTACCGGATGCACGGTTGGTGGCATTGGCGCAGCGCTGTGAGTTCTAAAAAAAATTCCCGCTCTTCACCTTCAGACGGACTGACAATTCATTTTCAAAAGCTGCGAGGTCTTTGCTAGTCGAGGATGTACCGTTTATGCTTCCGCGCGATCTGAAAAGTCCATGGAGGGCTTGCGACATCCAAACATTCGCAAGCTCATTGTCGATGTCACCTCAGACGATTCCGTAAACCTTGCAGTGGATGACATTTACAAGCAAGCTGGAAGAATAGATGTCGTTATTTCTAATGCTGGACTACCAGGGATAGGTAAGGAAAGCTCAAATTCATAGAAAGATGTCGTTGGATGACTTAGCCAGATACGGTTCGGACGTATACCTAGGTCCTCTCCTCGATCTCCCGGTTGATCATGTCAAGTCAGTTATGGATACCAACTTCTTTGGATTCGTCCGCCTTTGCAACGCGATTGTACCGAGAATGGCCAAGTCGAACCATAAAGGGCTTATCGTGGCTATTGGGTCAATTCTGGGTGAATTCGGCACGCCGTGGACGGGAATATACAATGCCTCGAAAGCTGCCTTACACTCCTATACGGAGACCCTCGAAATGGAATGCAGACCCCTTGGTGTGAATGTCATGCTTGTTGCCCCTGGAAGCATTGTTTCGAACATTGCGAATGTCAGTACCTTTTTCTCAAATTCTATAGAATCATCTCTTACCGTTTCTCACATCCAACAGAACGCGGCAAAAACACAATTTCACGAGCCACCTCCAGATTCGCTTTACAAATCATTCGCATCTTCAATCACTCATGTCATGTTCCAGTCTCAGAAAAGGGAATATGGAGCCATGCCTACGAACGACTTTGCGAACCAACTCAGTAATTACATCGTTGGAAGGGATGGAAAGCTTGTTGCAAAACCCGCCAAGTATGTATCGATTGGAGGATCTACTTGGATCTATGCAGCGTTCAAGTGGCTGCCTAGGCAGCGAGTATACGATATGATATGGAACGGTTTGAGTAAATACTGACAATATGGCCGGGGTAGCTTTGTGCCTAAAGATGATAAGATGAGCCGGGTTGACTGCGCAGCGTATGCATACCCGACATAGACTAATCTAGATAGGTTCAATCTTCATAGAACCTTTCGCTCATCCGAGGGTAACGGTGATAGGGATATCATTGTAACAATGTAACACAACTAGCAGTACAACAAAGATCAAGTACAATCGTATACCGAATGTCTATAGTACTGTAAAAGCGAATAAAGATAAACGATTAAGAGTATCACAGTTACAAACGTGAAACATGGAAACGTAACTAGATCAGTAAGGAATAGTACTTTTTTTCTTTTCTTATTTTGGATTAGGCAATTCCAAAGCTGTCTCCATCCCCGCCCTCTCTATGCCCACCACCTAAAACACTACCGCCACCATCATCTATAGTCGTATTCATCGTAGATCTTTTGGCGGATGCCGGAGGCCTCGAGTGTTGACCGGGTGGCATCGCCGTCGTATGTAACATCGGCACCGTATCGACTCCTTCAGTCGCGCCACCTCCGCTACTTCCTCCAGGCCTCTGTCCGCCCAAGTGTACTCGGTTCACATACGCATCGATAGCGGCGAGCTCCGCAGTAGGACCATGTTCATTTGCATTTCCAACCGTCGGAGCAGACCAAACGGAGCTATCCTGCGACCCCTGCGAGGTCTGGGAAGTCTGCGAAGGCTGTTTCTCCGGAAGCGGAGGTCTGTGTCCTGTGCCATGAGTTTCCCTCCGCTGGGAGGCAACCTGCTGAGAGTCTGAGAGTGCCACTGCGTCGTCGTACGTGGGAGGGTTCATTCTCCTTGGAGGTGGCGGTGACCCGGGTGGTGCTTCGATAGACTCTTGCGAGTTTCTTCTCGTCACAACAGTACTATCGTACACCGACGGGTTATTCGAGTATTTCGTAGCAACGGGGGCAGGTGGAGGAGAAGTTGACATGGGCGGAAGAAGGAAAGGCTGAACGCCCATCTCGTTAACGCCGCCTGCAAATGATGTGTGCACAACATTGCTATCAGGACTCTGACTGCGGTTCATAAATTGCATACTGGGCGAAGGAGAGTCGTACCGCGAGATGATAGTGCTCGCGCGATCATTGTATGTCGATGCCGGTCCATCGACATGGACGACAGATTGGTGGGGGGGAGTCGTGTATAGACCCACAGAGCTGATGGATCCCATGTTCACAGAGGAACCAAAAGGGGATGATGAATTGACGGAAGGGTGCAGCTGTTGCATGCCAATAACCCCGAGATAGCCGTTGTGACCATTCGTGTAACCTAAATCGCCGGCATGGGTCGTTTTGGTTAGATCTGAAAATGATCTGGTGTGCCCCTGGGTGCTATAAGTGGTCGAGTCTAGTTCCTGGGGTTTTCCGCTCTTCCTGCGGGAGACTATCCCGCGTTTCCGGAGTAACCACCATGCTACGGCGGCCCCAATGAGCAGAACTACAACGCCTCCTGCTACTCCGCCTCCAATAGCTCCAGCGTTACTTTTGGATTTGGAGGAGGGGGTAGAGGATGCCGTAGTTAAAGGAGCACCATAAACGTCCGAATGATTTTGTTCAGAAATAGCTTGGGCTTGATCAATGTTGAAGATCGCATTTGTCCATGCGGTGGCTATTTTAAACCCAAGTCAAGATAACACAACGAATGGAACGGAGGGCGAAAACGCACGATTGGTGGTAGCATAGAATGGAATAGACGTATTGTCGAGAGTGGGTACGTCCGAGGGGTAGTATCTATACGACGGATGGGTAAAAAAAAGAGTGCTGGAGTTACATTTGTGATGATACGAACGTTGTGCTTGATAGTAAAGAACCACACTGGCCGTTGTAGTCGGCCCATCTGTTTGGAGAGACCAGTTTCAATACGCAAGAAAGCAAGGAAGGAGCGGTTAACTAACGTTAAAATACTACCGTCAAAACCCTGACACGCGGTGCATGCGCTATAAAGGTTGTATGCCGCCCAAGAACTGCGTTAATCAGTCCGGATGTGAAATCAAGTGTAAAATCGGATCGGTATCGTGGATTTAGATTGGTTAGAGTGATGAATCGACCAAACCGTGAGCAGCGGATGGAAGATTGGGGAGAGTCAACAGTACAACGAAAGAAACGCAAGCTCGTTCGTCAGTGCTTCGGAGGACAAGAGGACAAGCAGGGCAGAGGACTCACCAGCTACATTTGTCTGGCGTGCTGCCGATCCCGGGTTGATTATAATGAACGGTTGAATTAGTCAACGGGGTGACAGTGTGATCTATGAAAGATAGTCAGGTCGTTTTTCCACCAAGTCGTGAATCAATGGCCCCAAAATCTGTCCCGACCACCACCTATTCTTCTATGTCGCATCAATCCTCTTAGCCTTATCGTCTTTTTCTCCCTCTCTTAATTTCAAACGCTAGATAAGAAACTCACTTGCGGTTCCACATCCTCCAGCGACGGCGGCTGCTACAAGACAAGGCGAATTCCCAGCGGAATCGAACGCCCATTGAAAACCGGATTGACAGGTAACATTAGACACGGGGCCGCGACCGACGAGCGTTGAACGTCGACCGTATTCTATCGCAGTAACATCGGATTCGAATTTCGTCGTCGTTGGCATGTTTAGGTTGCGATTTTCTCGGGCTCCACGAAAGAGGTCCTGTTAGCTTGTTGTGTTTCTTGTCCCTACTGCAGTCAAAGGAGAGGTTGTAGTCGTCCTTTATAAGGATTCAAGAGTCAACAGGATGGCTGTTATCTTCGTTCAACAACCGAACGCCTTGGCTGTATGGAAGATCCAGAGAACAGACGATACAGCGAGGGAAATTCGAAAAGAAGGGCAGAGATCTTTATATACAAACCATTCTCCCCGTGACACTCTCCTTACGGATGAACGATTAAAGAAATACTGGATCAATTCCAAGCGAGTACTGCCATCTATCAACACACAGCGTTTGAACTTTTGTGGACGTTTGTTCCTGTCACAGCGCGGAGTCGGCGCCAATCTAAGCGAGGCCCGGAGGCCTCATTGCGGGAGACATGTAGCGCCGTGCCACCCAAGTGCCACCCGCACAGCCAACAGCATCTTGAATTCCTGCGTGCGGAACCTTAACTTCTGCTTGAGAACATTCGGCTGATCAAGGAAAAGTTCAAAGAAGGTATAGGCTGTCGAAATGCATATGTTTGCTATTCATTTACGTAAATTCCTCCTATCCCGGCTTCAGACAATCCAGAACAGCTACAGCTCCGCAGTTTGTTCGACCGTTCATGGCACATACTTATCAGAATGGAAAACTGCCAGACGTTGCTCAGAGTGACAGAAAATGGTCATCCAACTTTCATAGAATCTTCTATTCCACTCGTTTACTCGCACCCGGCAAGGTACGGCCATTAGTTATCCTTCTCCCTCACTTGATTATCATTTGACATTGCACGACTGTCACGGCATCGAACCACAATGTCCTTCTGTATCACAAAACCTCCAGTGCCCAAAGGGAGAAGCACCCTATCATTCTGGCCTTGATTTGGTAGTGATAACGGCGGAGGGCGGAAATTGAGCGGCGGTGTGATTTATCACTGGCCCCCCGTGACTATACCGACCATAGCTCAGTTGGAAGAGCACAAGACTGTAATTGGCTACACATATCTTGGGGTCGCCTGTTCGAACCAGGCTGGTCGGATTAGAGAAATTGGGGCTTTTTTTCTGCATCGATTTGGTTAAATTGAAATCGAGATTCGATACATTTGATTAACATAATTAAATGTCGAATATAGAATACCGAGTAGACTTCCGACTCCCGGAAGAAGCAGCACAGTAAATCTCGGATCGAATGGCAAGCACTCCGGTAAGTTTCATATGATTCTTTCATGAGGCAAAGTCCAGATAGTACAAGTCCGAAGGTACTGTTACAGATATTTCTTGGGACTACGCGCTGTTTGTACCTGAATGTTCTGCTACGCGTATCAAGGCTACATAAGTATTACAACCTCAGGCTAGAAGAAACAAATCCGCTTGGGTCACTTGCACGCTCTTCAGATTTCTACCACCAGAAATCTTCTCCCTAATCCCCTTTATCATCGTCTTCCCATGTTTTCTGATCCTAAAATGTTTCTTCGACTCAGAAGTAGTGATTTCAGATTGATTTATAATGAGGGGACTCGGGTTAAGCCGGGGATAATCTTCAAAGTCGAGCGGGGGAATATATCTCAAGGGAGATAATTCCTTGTCCTGAATCACTGGAGTCGAAGGCATCGGAGTCGGGGTAGTGGTATCAGTGGTATTAGGAAGTTCCGGAATGGCATCAAGCTTCGTAAATAGAGCTTGGTCCGGTTTAACAATGGTGTCGGAATCTTGTTGCAAAGCCCCGTTGGTATGGGAAGAGGAAAAATCAACACGGGAGTAAGTAGGTGGAGGAAGGGAACGAGGGATATTGGACGCTTCTGATGGTTTTGCTGATGGAGAGAGATTTCCGGGATAGAAATCGTTTACAACTGATGTATCGAGTTTCGGAAGGGAAGTTTTGGAGAAGACGGGTAGACTTTCGGATGGAGTATCGCGTCCGGAAGACCGATACGAAGGTGGGGGAAGTGGGCGCTTGGAAGTTGCAGAAGGATCGTTAGAGAAGTTGATGGATTTGGATTTCAATGAAGGATCATGAGATGTAGAACGGGCAGAAGTTGGATAAGTTGAATCGGTGTTGAAGTCATATCTGAGTTTGGTGGAATGAAAGTACTGGTCTGCGCTACGTGAAGGGGGCGTGTGGTACTGAGGCGGAGAGGTCGTATCAGATTCGCTTTTGAGTAGAGAAATAGGATATGACGAGGATAATAACGTCGATGTTGGTGAGCTCGGGGGACGTGGCAAGGAACGACGACGGCGAGCAGAGGATGGACTTGGCGCAGACTCAGACACATTGCTTAAAGACTCGCTCAAATTTCGCTGTATCGTAGCTGCTTCTTCCCTCGCCTGAGCTAACTGCGTTTCTAGATCTTTTACACGTTCATCCAGCTCGCTCGTTTGGGCTTGAGCATGAGGGAGCCGACAGAGAATGAATGATCTGTTGAAGTACCGAACATATAAGTCGCGATGTCGAAGAAGGATGCATAAGAAACTTTCATAAATGATCCTACGCAAGCGGTGGCCCCAGACGCAACGACGACGGGTGATTCAGTCTGGTATCCTGCGATCACAGAAACCAAGCCTAGTCCTAACACGACAGCATTCAGCACCCACGACTGGACGAAGCGGTTTGAGGACCAGAACGGCATTGGCGGCTTGGGAGGGGAAGTGACGGGAGCGTATCTTCTTCGTATATTCAAGAATACTTTAATACCACCGGGTACCCTATAATGCACTTCCGATGTAGATCAAGTACTTGCATTCGTTTGCCGTTTATTAAGCCTCAAAAGGAAATAGTTACAGCTTTTCAATTGAACGCGCGCAGAGTTGAACGGGATAGAAGCTGTAGATTATACAGCTCCATAGGCTTATTTTCGACACATCCCTGGTTCCAAAGAGCTTTTAGATTCTGGTTCCGGTATAGGTACCTGACAGAAGTTTACACCTGCGGATCGGAAGATAGAATGGGTAGGTACATATTTGGGTCACATCTCAATGGCCTGTGAGTATGCTGTATGCATATATAGACTTCAGCGTCATATCCCGCATGTCTGTGAAAGCTCGCAGAATTAAAAAAGTTTACACATCATACCCACATGTGAACTGATGTACGCATGCACATAACTGCACGCAGTTTGGGTACCGAAACTTTAAAGTCCCTCTGACACGGCCGTTACAGTAAAAGAACCAGCCCTGCATCAGATAAATTTTTCTCTCATAGACATGATCGAAACAATGAGCCATCTGTAAACGTACCGTCTACGCGACCCGCGTCTTCAGCTCTAGCGCCGCTTACACGTGATAGTCACGTTTCGCATATAGCCGCTCGACGACGCTCATTCCCTCATTTGGTAGAATATCGAGGCAAATACAAATATCAAAGCAATAGTCAAGTGAAAGCTTCATAAGATGCAGGTAAGGTAATTGGTTCTAATAGCAATCACACAATAAAGTAAAGCTCATCGAATCCTACACTTAACAATTAAGTACTTACTGCTTTCTCCAAGCGTCCCGAGAGGATAATGCGCTCTTGGAACACCTTGTTTTCCGCCTGTTCACGCGTCTCCAGAATGAGCGTTCGCTCAAGTGGATCACTGTACGCCCGGTAATGGTCAGAAATGGTCTATGCTTCTACAACAGAAAACCTCCAGTGCAACCAGGGAGAGGCACTCTATCATTCCGGCCTTCCTCTGGTACTGATAACGGCGGAGGGGCCTGTTGGGCGGACATGTGGTTCATCACTGGTGCCACATGGACATACATAGTACCTACCGTAGCTCAGTTGCAAGAGCACAAGTCTGTGACTTAATACATATATGTTGGGGTCGCGTGTTCTAACTGGTCTGGTCAGATTTCCGGCTATTCAAGCTTTTGTGTGCTTTTTCTTTGCAGTGAGAATCAAGTTAAAGTTGGAGTGAGGCCTCGGTATCTCGATATTGTATATAGAATACTAACCAGACTCATGACATCGGACACCCGGAATAAGTACATAGCACTGCTAGTCTCGTGTCGACACACAGTCGGTTTCATATGATTCATTTATGGAACAAGTTCCGCCAAGTACAGATAGTACAAGTCCGAAGGTACTTAGTATTAAAGACATTTCTTGCGGGTTTGCACTGTTTGTACCTAAATGTTCTGCTACGCTTATCAAAGCTATATAAGTGTAACAACCTAGAAGAAACAAAGCCGCTTGGGCCGATTCACGCTACTTGCACGCTCTTCGAACTTCTACCACCAGAAATCTTCTCCCTTATCCCCTTCACCACTGTCTTTCCATGTTTTCTTATCCCAAAGCGCTTTTTCGTCTCGGAAGCAGCAGTGATACCGGAATGATTTAGCCTGAGGGAACCGGAGTTAACCGGGGGATGGTCCTCAAAGTTGTATTCGGGGGATGTGTATCTCAAAGGAGATAACTGTCTATCCTGAATCGCCGGAGCAAGAGCAGGAGAAGGAGCAATAGTGTCAGAAAGCTCTAGAATGGGATCGAGTGTCGTAGATAGAGGTCGGTTCAGTTTGTCGATGGAATTAAAAGCTTTTTGCATAGCTCCGCTGGTATGGGAAGCTGGGAATTCATCATGGCGCGAATAGGAAGGCGGAGGAGAAGGTTCTGTTGGTTCTTGTGATGGGGAGAACCGTGCAGGATAAAAGTTCTCCACAACTGACATATCAAGTTTCGGAAGAAGGGAAACCTTGGAGGAGACAGATTGAGTATGGTGGCCAGAGGACCGATACGGAGGCGGGGGAAGCGGACGCTGAGAAGTTACAGAAGGATTGTAAAAGGAGGTGGTAAGTTTGGATGTAAATGAAGGATAACGAGATATTGAACGAGTAGAAGTTGGAGAAGTTGGGTGTGAATCAGTATTGGAGTCAAGTCCGAGTTTGGCGGAAGGAAAATACTGGTCCGCACTATGTGAAGGAGGGGTGCGATACTGAGGTGGAGGAGTCGAATTCACGTCTGACTCGCTGTTGAGCAAAGAAACAGAATAAGTCGAGGATAGTAACGTTGACGTAGGTGAGTTTGGAGGACGCGGTAGTGAGCGACGGCGAGCAGCTGAAGAACTCCGTGCTATAGATACATTGCTTGAAGTCTCGCTTATGTTTCGCTGCATCTCTTCTCTCGCCTGAGCCAGCTGCGTTTCCAGATCTCTCACACGATCATCCAGGTCGCTCGCATGAGCGCGAGGAAGTTGATATAGAAGGAATGATCTGTTGAAGCGTTGAACATATAAGCCCCGATGTCGAGGAATGATGCATAAGAAACTTGCATGAATGATCCTACGGAAGCGGTTGCCCCAGAAGCAATGACGACGGGTGAATTATTCTGGTATCCCGCGATTGCAGCAACCAAGCCCAATCCTAACACGACAACATTCAGCACCCACGACTGCACGATGCGGCTCAAGGACGAGGGTGTCATTGGCGAATTGGATGGGGCGACGGGACCGTACCTTCTTCGTGCATTTGAGGGTACTTTAATACGATAGACGCTCTATAATGTATCTCCAATACAGTTAAGTATTTGCATTCGTTTCCCGCTTATCAAGCCTTAAAAGGAAACACCACAGCATTTCAATTCAATGACTGCGCGGTAGTACAGGGATAAAAGCTGTTAATTATACAGCTTCCTAGCTTCCTTTTCGTAACGCCTATAGATGTTAGGAGTTCTTAAAGTTGAGTTCTTAAAGTTGAGTACCGATACACCTGATAGAAGGTTACGCCTTCTGCGGATCGGATTGAAAATTACACTGCAATGGCCAATGAGTATGCTGTATGCACATGGACTTCAGTGTCATATCCCGCATGTCTGTGAAAGCTTGCAGAATAAGTTTAGTACATACGAGACCCACATATAGATTCGCACATATGCACACCACTCGGGTACCGAATCTTTGGAGTGCCTCTCAAGCGACCATTGCGGTGAAAGAGCCAGCCCAAAATCAGATAAATTTTCCTCCCAATTTCGCATAATCGCAACAATGAACCATCCGTTAACATACCGTGTACGCGTTGCGTACACGGATAGGTCGCGTTACCTTAGTTGCGCTTTCACGTGATAGT